GGGCGGTCAGGAATTGAACAGTTTTCTCGCCGGGTTTTCTCCGGCTGTTTTCACTTTTCTGCCAGGTGCCGGATTGGGACGGTCAGGAATTAAACAGTTTCCTCACTGAGCTTTTGCCGGCTGCTTATTACTTTTCTGCCGTTTTGGGGCGGTCAGGAATTGAACAGTTTCCACCCACCGAGTCTCGTCCGTGGTTCTCCAGCTCTGGCCGACCGAGCCGCTACCCCCTAATCTGGTTTAGCCCGTATGGCCGATAAGATCAAGCAAGTCTGCGCCGCGGGCTGGGTGCCTCGGCTGCAAAGCAATCCATCACCTCGATAGCCCCTCCTGCTCACTTGATGAAGGATCTCGAACAGACCTGCGCATCGCTGCGCGCGCAAATCGCTGCCACAGAGGCGCAGCTTGCCGGTCTGAAACGCGAGCTTCAGGTCGCAGAGCAAGCTGCACTCAACTCACAGCGTCAGCATACTGACACGGAGAGGCGATGGCCACTTCTCGCTGAGGAGTACCGGCGTTATGGGAGGCAGATGATCGTGCCGCAGCTGGGAGTACAGGGTATGTGTAGTCTCTTTTTCTCTCCACTCTTTCCCTTCAAGTTTACTCTACGATGTTTGATCTGGAATGTTGGAGATGCATGTGGCTGACCTGGGGGCGCTGCGCGACAGGTCAATTGAGACTTCGATCGGCGAAAGTCCTGATTGTCGGCGCAGGTGGACTGGGATGCCCGGCTGCGATGTATCTTGCTGGAGCTGGGGTGGGTACACTAGGATTGGTGGACGGGGACACCGTTGAATCGTCAAACTTGCACCGCCAGGTTCTGCATCGCAGCCGAAACGTGGGGAAGATGAAGGTGGACAGCGCGATTGAGTATCTCCAGGAGTGAGCTTCGCCCGTCTAATCGCTCTGCCACGAGATTGATTACACCAGCAGTTGACTGACCCATGATGTTTTGCTTCTTGCTAGATTGAACCCTCATCCCACGTACATCGCCCATCGAGCGCATCTAGCACCCGACGCTGCAGCAGATATCTTCGAAGACTACGATATCGTACTAGATTGTACGGATAACCCCGCGACTCGGTACCTGATCTCCGATACGGCCGTGCTGCTGGGCAAGCCGTTGGTCTCAGCATCCGCCCTGAGGACGGAAGGACAACTGATGGTACTGAACAACCCGCCTCGACCTGCGGGCGACAAAACCGGCGGACCGTGCTATCGCTGCGTGTTTCCCCGACCCCCACCAGCGAACACGGTCACCAGCTGCGCGGATGGAGGCATCCTGGGGCCCGTGGTTGGGACGATGGGCGTCCTGCAGGCTCTGGAAGCCATCAAGGTGATTACGGCCGACGACACGCAGCCCCCCAGCCCTCCGTCGCTGCATATCTTCTCCGCGTACTCTACGCCTTTGTTCCGGTCGATCAAGCTGCGCTCCCGCCGCGCCAACTGCGCGGTATGCTCTGCAGAGGCGACTGTAAACCTGGATACGGTGCGTTCCGGCTCCACGGATTATGTCTTCTTCTGCGGCAGTGCCGATCCGGAGATGCTGCTCGTGCCGGAGGAACGGGTTTCGCCGCTGGAGTACCGGGAGCTGCACCCTCAGTCGTCGGCTGCGGAAGAGGGCAAGCAACCGACGATGATCGACGTGCGGGAGAAGGTGCAGTTCGACATCTGCAATCTCGAGAACAGTATCAATATCCCGATCTCCACGATCTTGGCATCTTCTGCTAGCAAGGGTGATGAAGCTGCTGCCCAGCTTCCAGCGTGGGTGCCGGCGGAGCTTGCTGCTGCGGACTCGACGGACCCGATCTACGTGGTGTGTCGTATGGGCAACGATTCCCAGATTGTAGTGAAGAAACTGAAGGAGCTGGGACTGGATCGTGAAGGGCGACGGAAGGTTGTCGATATCCGGGGAGGCTTCCGCTCGTGGAGGGAACAGCTGGACCCTGAGTGGCCTGAGTATTAGACTGGTTCTGCGCCTCGATGGAAGGGCCTCCCTTCTATCTTTCTAGAGATTTTGGCCTTCACAAGAAGCATCCATGAGTAGACTGCATGTTATGGTTCGGAAATTCTCGCGGCTGATAAGTGCGCATTATTACAAACAAAAAGATCTCCAAGATTGGATTAATCGAGTCATACAGAGCTCAATTCCAGCAAGTTTCATCAAATTCGAAATTCTTCTATGACTCGGTGAGATGCCTTCGTATGCTCGTCAGCCATCTGCGCTGTTAGGGCTGCTGACGGGTCATAGCGGGCGGGCTTAAGCGCAGCGACGGATTTTACAAGCCCGTGGCTGACGAGAGCCATGGCCCATGACTATACAACCGAGCATCAATAGCATCATCCACTTCCGGCAGATAAATAGCACTTTCCCTCGACGCTTGTCCTCAATTCCAGTTCCATTTTAGAGCAAGATAACAAACCAACAAACCAACAAGACAATTAGCCAAAAGAAAACACATCCACACTCACAATGGACGGACCCAACACCAAACCATACCACATCCCCACCGACGCCGTCTGGTTCAGTCAGTGCCCATCCCCTCCCTTCCCATGCGATACAAGAACCACAAAAAAACTAACAATCCCCAAAAGTCACCGGCTGCTCCTCAGGCATCGGCCAATCCCTCGTCCACCACATCACAACCCACCACCCAACCCACCGCGTGGTCGCAACAGCCCGCAACCCAGCCAGCCTATCCTTCCCAACCACCAACGCCAACATCCTCCTGCTAGCCCTCGACGTGACCTCCCAAACCTCCATCGACGCCGCCCTCCAGAAGACCCTCGCCCACTTCCACCGCATCGACATCCTGGTCAACAACGCCGGCTACACGCTGGTGGGCGACACCGAAGCCGCCTCCGACGCCGAGGCGCGCGCCCTCCTGGACACCAACTTCTGGGGCGTGGTGGACCTCACCAAGCGCATGCTGCGGATCATGCGCGAGGAGAATCCCAGAAGTGGTGGTCCGCAAGGCGGCGTGATCCTGAACGTCAGCTCGATGGGCGGGTTCATCGGGTTCCCGGGGAGTGCGTTCTACCACGCCAGCAAGTTCGCGGTGGAAGGGTTCACCGAGGCGGTGGCGAGGGAGGTGCCGGTGGAGTGGAATAGTGAGTTTTCCCCCGTTTCTCCCAACAAACCCCTTCTTATCCAGAGGTGATATACCTTTGGCGCAAACGCAACGCAAGCTAAACTTTGTGTCAAAAAGTCCACCTCTGCAACATCGAGCCCGGCGGCGTGAAGACCAACTACGCCACCACCAGCCTCAAGACCATGGTCAACGGCCGCCATCCGGCGTATGACCACCCAGGGTATCCGGCGAATGCGCTGTTGGCGTATATGGGTCAAGAAGAGAATCGGCGGGCGTGGGCGGAGCCCCAGGCGGTTGTGCGGGCGATTGTTGAGATTGTGAATCGGGGGCGGAGGATCCCGATTCGGGTGCCTCTGGGTGCGGATGCGTTTGGGATGATTGCGATGGAGTTGGAGAGTATTCAGAAGGATTTGGAGGAGGTGAGGGAGGTGAGTTTGGGGGTTGGGGAGACGGAGCAGTTGGAGTCGATCGGGTTTTTGCAGAGGGAGTAGTTCGGGTCTTCTGGGGGGGGTTGTGGTTGGGAGATGGGCTTTGTGTATATATGTGTGGTCTTGGTGCTTAGGTCGGAGAATGGACTAATCTCATCTTGTTGGTGCTTTATTCGTGGGGTGTTTGGTAGTATAGGCATAGCAAGATAGATCAAGTGTACTGTCTCGATTAGCTGTACGATGCTGTAGATCTTGAGGCTGTAAGTGCTGAGGGTGGGACAATCTCTACAGGACGGAAGGTGAATACCAGAGCCTGAAGGCGCAGCAATCCTTCTAGGGCTAATGAATAGCACCGAGAACAATCACTTTGCCAATGGTGTGAATAGCTTTCCACTTCCTGGTATATCCGCATCGGAGTGACTGCGCCTCGATTGCTCGACTAGCCAATTCACTTGAATCCACTTGGATCTCTGTGTGAATACCTATTGCAGCAGTCCATGCCTGTATACGTAACAAGTGTATTCTCCATCCCACGCCCGCGCCCGCGCTCAACGCAGTCTTGACGATGAATATACCGTGTCCAAGAAATCAAGCATCAATCATCTCCCTTGGCTCGAGTTCGAGATCTCATTCGACCACAGCATCCCGCTGACCCAGATGAGCCACCGTACTATCAGCCTAGGATCAGTCGTATTCCAATCGATTACCATGTCCTCCACCCCCGAGTCATTGCGGAGCCTCTAATCCTAGAGTTCGAGCGTGTTCTAGGACGGGTGGCAGTGCCACCAGAACAGAACTTCGAGCTCACAAGAAAATGTTTCCTGGAGCTAGCTGCTCATGTTTTCTAACTGTGCAGGTGGAGAACTGTCTACCTAGAACAGTCTAGTCTAGAACTTGCTTGCGGTATTCTCAAGTGTCCTATTCTCTGGGCACATACAAACACCATGGGAGATCCAGACCCGTTGGTCAGACCAAGGCGCTGAATCGATCTTGTATACATCACTCCAAATCGCATGAAGCAACCACATGCACGCACGCTCATAAGAAGGGCGTCCTCGACAGGACATGACAATTTTTCTTCGTTATCTGCAGAACTTAGAAGCGAAAGTAAGAACTGAGCCCTTCCCCTTCCTCTTCCGCGTTTTGTGTGCCGCGCCAGCCCTAAAACATCCAATCCACTAACAAAGCAAAACCAGTCCGCAGGCCACAATCTAATCCTTCCCTCTGCCTCGATCCCCTCTCCTCAAGAGAAAATCCGTCACGAGAAACATGACCGACTCCGTATCTGCCCCTTTGCAAAGCCTTCTCAACAAGGTAAATGACACCACTATCAGTACTACAACTACGGCTACTAGTACTCCTACTACCACTACTACTACCACTACAACTACCACCACCACCAAACCCGCAGCCCAATAAACCAACTTCAATCATCCAGTACCAACCCTCAATGAAGAGGGCGTCAGCCCAGCCCAGCCCAGCACAAAGCAACAGAAGAAATTGGGAAACGAGCGACCACGCTATCTAACATAAGGTGGCGCCAGCGGCGTCAGGAAAGGTCGTTCGGAGGGATGCTGTGAGAACAGAACCCAGGCCTACCAAGACACGGTGGGTTGTTCACATCTCCACTACCATTATCACCACCACCACCACCACCACCACCAGCAGCAGCAGCAGCAGCAGCACGTGCTCTGTACCCTAAAGCCACTCTCGTCCCTCTTTCGGCGCTCGTGGAGTCGAGGCAGCGGGAGTAGGGGAGCACTACCGCCATTCGCCATTCTTGGTGAATGAGAAGGGGCTTGGCGTGTCCATGCGGCGGTGTGGCTTTGCCTTAGCCGGTTGGAGTTAAGGAAAGGGGATGATGTGATGAGGAGGAAGAGAAGGTGGCCACAATGGTGGTTGAGAAGGATGTGGGTATGGTGATTATCAGGAGGAGCATAAGAGGAAAGAGAAGTAGAGAAAGGAGAGGGAGGTGGGTGTCCTTCTTTGGGCGATTGCTCTTTGGTGCGAATGCATTTCTAGGCATCGTGCTGTATTTGTTTCTCGTCGTGCTCTGGTTTTGTAAGTCTTTGTAAGTTGAGGTGATACTTTACCTACGTTGGATTTGTTGTTTTTACTTTGATATCTTATATGGATGTGTCTTGCTTCGCATCTGGAATGAATGGTTGCTTCTTTTTCATTGTTGTGATCTCGACAGCCTAGGGCCAGGACTCGTAGCATGGAGAACAGGAAGAACTATTTCATTAGTATAGCATTAGCAAAAGTAGCAACATGAGCTACTTGAATTAGCCACCAGAGATCACTGTCTGGCAAGGACCCCAACCATCCAACACAATGACTAAATACACCGTGTAACCTCGAACCAACCTAACCTTCTATCATTTCCACCAAGCCCTTCGGAGTACAAATCAACTGGGAAACACTCCCAAAATCTACCTCGCAAAGCAACTACACAAACCGCCCAAAGCCACCACGCCCAGCAGAACCCTCCACAAAGCCTGCAGCCCATCCATGTACATCCCGCGCAGCACCGCCATCTCGCCCTCATTTCCATTCTTGCCCCCACTATCACCCATCATCATCAGCAACATCATCATCATCATCGACGAACCACCATCATCTCCTTGGGTCACATTCCCTCCCAGCCCCAGGATATCCACTCCCTTCTGGTCGCCCATCTCCCGCACCACCTGACCCAGAACGATGGTCCCACTCACCGTTACCGCGATACACATGCCCCACGTCCGCAGGATGGAGTACAGCAGCATGCCTCCCTTGGAAACCTCAGTGTGCGGCTCCCCGGCGTTGTTGGTGGTGGTGCTGCTGCTGTCGGATTTCCAGCGTCCAGAGGAACTGTGAGACCGTGGTCGGTGTTGGAGGCAGCGATGGTATCCAGACGTCAAAAGAGCGTGGCTGATCCCTGTAGCCAGAAAAATAAAGACCCAGGCTTGGGGCGGAGTGTGCATGTCGAGGGTGATGAACGCGCACGAGACCAGAAGACCGATGGCCCAGCCGGCGCGGATGATCCAGCGGAGGGTGCGGGGACGGTGCAACCAAGACCATCTGGAGACTAAGAGGAGGGCGGGTAAGGATGGAGCGGTGACGGTGAGGAGGCTGAGGCCCGATAGAGTCGGGGTGAGGCGTTGGATTAGGATCAGGTACATCGGGAGGTTGAGCAGGTGGGAGAGGAGCTGGGGTTGTATGTGTATTAGCTTCACTGGTGCGTGGTAATGGGGACTTGGGGGCACGCACCGAGAACCCATGAAGGAAGCTACTGAGGTACATCATCGCTCGAGGCAGACACTGAATGTCTGCTGCGATGAAGATCGATCGCGTCGCCCAGATGCTCTCATACAGGACAACCAGCAGAACCACGCCGGTTCCGAGGCAAAGAGGCACGAGGACCCGCCAGCTCGACCAGGGGTAGAAAGTGCCGCCCAGGCTTAGACCGATGAGCAGGCAACCCATCCCCACGAGGCTGAGAACGACGCTCAGCCAGCACATGCTGCGGAGTTTGCGCATGGAGATGCTGCGCCGGCCACGCAGGTCCACGGCAAATGGAATTATGAGGAGCCCCAGTGCGCAGAACGCAAAGCTGGCGTAGAAAGCCCATATCCTGGAGGTATAGTCGCTGAACAGTCCTCCGAGAACCAGGCCAAGCATGCTTCCGATGACACGAGCCCGAAAGAGATACCCGGAGTAGTGGGCCAGGAACATGTCGGGGATAATGTCAGCCATAACCAAGATCGAATATGCCATCACGGCTCCTCCTCCAATCCCTTGCACAAACCGCCCGGCGATGAGGCTGGCTAGGTTCATCGAGCCGCTGCAGACGCCCGTCCCGGCCGTCGCGAGCACCACAGCGGAAAGGACAATAGGACCAGCGCCAATCAGGTCCGTGAGCATGGCAAAGACCGCCTGGCCCGTGGCGCTGGCGATGAGGTACGAGGCCTCAATCCAGAGGATCCCGCCCAGTGCTCGCTCGAGCGTGCTCGATAGGCTCTAGGGAAACGATTTAGTCAACGCAAAGCATACTGTCGTCCATACGTACTGGTATCAGGGGTATCACGACAGTCACGTTCAGAGCGTCCATTGTGACCAGCAAACAGGCGGATATGATCATCAACCATTCCTTGACGTCCGGCTTCCATTTTGCCCGCTCGGTATTGGCTTCGAGATTATTGTCATGGTGGCTTGCTGGGGTGTCGATGTTCTCAACTAGGTTTTGGACGCATCGGCCGCTGAATAGCTGCACGTCGCAGCCATTTTTATCATGGCTAGAGTCAACATATTCCAAGCCCATTGTCGGTCGGTGCTCGGAGACTCTTGAACCTCCGTGATTAACTAGAGCTCATAAGGCAGCCGAGTGCGACACGGAAAAAGACGTCGAACACATAGGACGACAGAGCATCCCATCATCGTGGATTGAGGGGAAGTTCGTTGCATCATCATCTCACAGAAGACTAATGCAAATCAGTCAATCATCCAGAATTCTATTGCCTTGATGGGTCCGACTATATCAGTCAATACATACTAGCATACTCCAGTATGCAAGGGGGCAGCACAGAGCCGCGAGGAGCTGATACGTAACGCGTGCTATTGTTGTTAGCCCCCTAGTTTCGCTCCTGCATGAGAAGCGGTCATCGTGCAGTTCTAGCCATAACTTAGACGCAAAAGAAATGATATTGGGGCGATTCACTTGAAAAGGGCATTCCGATCACCCAGGTAGTCGAGAAGTTCCGCATCTGGATAGCTTGGCTTTCCCTTGTAGTATTGGTATGCAGGCACAGGTCACATTGATAATCACCTCGGAAGCAAGAAGCCAAGAAACAGGCGGCAGCTCATTCACACATGGAAGGGAGGGTGTCTAATGATACTTGGGGAGCACATATCCCCCTATGTCTTGGAAAAATTGCATCGCGGTGGTCATAAAATTCGCAACATCCTCCCCAAGCCATGGCGCGAGCATTCTTGTCCTGGTGGATTCCATCTCACGAAGATAATTCCCGGCAACCTGTCAGAATGAACCTTAGTCCCGGCAAAGCCTCCAGAAAGAACGTAAGAGCTCAGAAGCGCACTCACTAGAACACAGGACCCTTTTCGACTTGAATCCATTGCAACCTGCCCAATCACGTCTGCCACACGCTGGGGTGTGTTAGCTTCCAGACCTGCTTCGAGCCATTGCTCTGTGAATCCGGCTGTGATTCGTGTTGGGGTGAAAAATGGAGCAACGGCGTTTATGCGGATGCCGTACTGCTGCGCAGTGGTCTGAGAGGCACGAAGCAATCCCACGATTCCATGTTTAGAAGCGACATATGCCGCTACGCCAGTGCCTCCAAAATACCCAGAGGTAGATGCTAGAAGCACAATAGATCCAGATGGGTGATGTTTGTTCCTCATGTGGTGCATCGCTAGTCTGAGAGCTGTCGTTCGTCAGTAGGGAATGACGTGATGCGCGGATCTCAGTGACCTACTGTTCAGGGTTCCTTTCAGATTGATATCAATCACTCGAAAGCCTTCAGTGGACTCTCTGAGATCGCCATTCTCGTCAATATTGTCGAGATCCAGTACTGGATGTGACTCCATTACCCCCGCGTTGGCGATGACAATGTTGACCTCTCCGAGAATGCGGACGGTCTCGTGGAAGAGCGTTTTCATCTGCTCCCAGTCAAGGACATCGGCAGCAACAAAAGCTGCCTTCTCGGGCCAAGAAAATGTCTGGATAAGTGCTGCGGCTGTCCCTTCGAGAGATGCCAGATCGGAAAGGATGACATTTGCACCATGATGGTTAAAGAGTGTCGCGGTAGCGGCTCCTATCCCGTTTGCTGCTCCAGTTACAATGACTGTCTGGCCGTCTGCCTGAGATAGCAAGGCTGGCTCGATCTCGAATTCCTGCATACCGGTCCTTGATGGTAATGTGTTGCGGCTCGGATGAGGTTGGAGGAGAGGTGGAGCGTAACTGCGGGGTTGTCAGGAAATGAGCAGCCATCGCCCGTTAAGCCGCTCCCTGCTGATCTTCAATAGCCTGCCTCATACCGTATAAGATCTCACACGAACCAAAACTATTATGTACTAATTGAGATTGACTCTAGTGGGAGAGAAACTTGATTATATACACCGAAGCCTGAAATCAATCGAGTTTGTCCAGATCCGAGACTCTTGACACCTCAGCTGACGATTTGGCGCTGTGCGCAGTGCTAATGGCATGGAAAGAGAAGTCCAACTCTCCTACCAATGCTTTCACATCCCTACTTTGATTAGCATGATACAATAGTGAATCAAATGGTCTACTCACTTCATCAGTCTTTCCACGTCACCAACAATGCATCTGGTGGAAATCTGCAGCACTGAGAAGGTAGCAAAGCCAGGCTCCGCGATATGTCTCAGGTTCAAGATATCTTTGTCCAGCGCCTCAAGTCTCTTGGAAAAGCTGTACGGACGGGGAGTCTTGAGATATGGCGGCAGAGGCTGTTGATTCGTGATGCTAGCTGAGAGGAGACAGAGAACGGACGTTACCTCGTGCGTCGTCACTCGAGCGCTGGCTACCAGTCTCCTGAAGTCATGAAGCCAAGCTGAGTCTGATTCATCATCATGCCCAAGTTGCAAGAGGGTGTCCGACGCGTATCCCAGAAGACTCAGATAGCTGACGATGCTGTATACATAGTCAGAAGGGTCGACACCCGCATCAAAAGCAGGCTGGCGTACCTGTCAATGCATGTTATGATTGAATCATAACGCTTTTTTGGAAATCTTCCCCCGATTGGGACTTCCCATTTCAAGAAGCCGGAGTAAGTTCGCAAACTGTTCAGCATGAGCATCTGCTTCGAAAACACCTTGTTGCGGGCCTTGAGCAACCGCCGCCCCGAGGAGGTTTTGATCGCCAGATCACCCTCGTCACCTCGCATCCGGGCGGACACGGTCTCGTGGATGACAGAGTAGTAATTTGCTAAAAGATACAAAGATGCCCCCAGACTTTGGCGAAGAGCAGAATGTTCCGAGATTGGATAAGGGAAGAACGTCCAGAAGAAAGCAACGGCAATACCCCCAGCCACTGTTGCAAGTCTATATGGTGCTAGCAGATAGATGGGATAGTACTGCTGTCCATTGGAGGTGGCCACTGCCTCTCCGATCTTGCGAACCTCCAGCTCGTACCCCACTATCATGGAAGTAGAAATGATGGTAATGATGCCAATGATGCGGAAGCGGAATTGCTTGATTGGTACATAGAAGACGCAGGTTAGGAAGATGAACAGGAAGACGATAATTCCTGGAGTCTTCTTGCCGGGGATATACCAAGCCAGTAAGCTAAGCACCATAGCCATGACTGTGCCCAGAATACGGAGAACAAAGCCGAAGATGCTCTGACCCGAGGTAGGCGACATACTCAGATTGACCATGATCATGGCCCATACAAACCTCTGCTTCACGAAGAAGCTTTGAGTGTCATGAAGAAACGCGACCACAGCCACAGTCATCGTGGCACAAGCTACGCGGAAGCCATAGGCAGACTCAGGTGAGCGGAGGGCGGAGGGGATCCGTCGAAGCTTGTCTCCAAATCTTTGCAGTGCATTCTCCGGGGGTAAGTGTTCGGGGTCTTTTCGATGTTTGTATGCTTCGCCCAGCTGAAGAATATTGTTCTGCGAGCTAATGTCACCACCAAGATTATCATCTTCGTGGGTATCTTCCGCTTTGAAGGCGCTTACGACCCACTTTAACAGGCGCTTAGATCCTGGTATGATGAGCCGTTTTCTTGACAGTTTTCCGCTCGCACGTTTCTCGTCGGCAAAGTGGATGAAATCCTGAATGACATGACCGGTGGAGCTGAGAAGTTGTTCCATCTATACAAGTCAGCAAATCGCGTGGAACACCAGATAGCACAATGCCCTACGTACGTAAAGAATTAAATACAGCTGTCGTCTGCTCCGATCCCGCCCAACGCCTGAACTATCAGAAGGTATATCATCGATATCGAGGTGAACGGAAGAAGGGTGCTCAAAAAAGTCCGGGGGGAGGGTGATCCCTTTTTCTTCACCCCAGGCCCGCAAAGCGATGCGCTTGGCCGCCTTGAAATCGCTTAGCTTCTTTGCATAGAGGGCAGCAAAGGCTTTTTCGCCAGGTTTTGGGCTTGCGTCCGCCTCCACATCTTCCGATTCTTTCGATGTAGTTGATGCTTTGAGCGGTTTACTGAACTCGAGAACGTACGACACATGCTGAAGGCCTTCATCAATGGTATCGATCATAGACCGGAACGGATCATGCACAGCCCGCATGATATCGTTCCATTCCTGCACAACGCGACAGCGTATATCCTCTGGAGCGCCAGGATCGATCGGCTGGTTCCACTTGTTGTAATCAGATAGACGCTGGAAGATGTCGACCACAAAGCTTAACCCCACAACAGGAATCATAGCTTGGCGCAGCTGTCTGAAAATTGCTTGAAGATCGTCCGGACCAAGTTTGCCGATGGCGAATTCACGCTTTGCAAATGTCAGGTCTCCGTGGATCTTAGCATGGAGATCTGTGAGTTTCTGGCAAGCCGATCGAATAGCCGCTGCCTCTGGGCTGTAAACCTTGCCGCTCTCGGTCATCTTTTCCACTCGAGAGTCGTAGGTCTCTGCCCGCCCAAACATATCCTCGCGCTCTAGGGATTCAAAATACGATGTGTGGGCTCTGAGAGCGCCACGCAAGCCGTCAATATAACCTCCCATTTGTTTGAGAATGATGCCGCGAGTACTCTTGGGCAGAATGAACAGGGATACACCCGTGCAAATGGCTAGCCCTGTCAGACAAGCTTCGAGCAACTTCTTCACCAATGCAATTGCTGCGGTCATGGTTCCTAGACGGGGGGCATAGGTGAACGTGACATTGGCAACAATGGAATAGATGATCACGGGGAATTGAAACTGCTGGAACTTGGCTCTGAAAGTGTGGACCACATAAATCTGGAAGAAAAGCCAGACTCCACTGACTGCTGATGCGGAGGCATTGTACGGGACGGAGGTGGTTGAAGTAGCACTCGATGTCGCCGACGATGTCGCTGAAGATGGCTCTGAGTGTTCTCGGGCCTTGATACAGCAGTACATCATAAGCAATGCGAAAGCGGAGGCCACGCAGACTGCGAGGATGTCCAGCACCATCATCTGAATGAATTTCGCGCGCGGCATAATGGAGAACCCCAGGACAGAGATGATAGCCACTAAATAGCCAACGGTATTGAATTGACCAGACACGACATCTGATTGATACCTATGGCTTATTAATTCTGGTGCTTATAGCCATCATAGAGATGCTGGTAGGCAAGCATACATAGCTACGCATATCGTGGGTGGAAGTGCTCCCCTGTTGCGAACAATTGCATTTAGCTTCAACGCACGTTATCTGATATACGAGGATTCGGTGGGACATACTTCATCATAAGCAGTAAAGTGGGGATGTCCATATTTAGCTTACCCCAGATTATCTGGGGTAAGCTGAAAATCCTCGTCCAATTTCGCTTCTTGGGGCCATCATTTGTGGCCTGCATTGATGGCGAGGCGGCTGCTTCAGCAGCGTCCGGGGCTACCATGTCTTGGGCCGATCAGTGGTGTCGGTCGCAATGTCTCGATGTCTCTGTCTCTGCTCAGGATGCATTCCCGGGGTGTTTTGATAGTCACTCCCTCTATTTTCCCGGGCACACGTGATCTGTCAACCGATGCCGAATCCGGAGACGGGAAAAGAAAGCCTGGAGCTCTGGATTGTGGAGGACGATGATTGAGGGGATAGAACGGACAACTTTAAACTGCAAGGTTATTGAGACAGCACAGGAGCTGGATGCAGGGGAGAAGGTTGAAGAAAGTGAAATCAACTTTGTTGAGGCGGGATACGAGAAGGATGACTCGGTGAAGATACAATTGAGAGGAAAGAAGGATTATTTGGTGGCGATCGGCGCTCCGTTACTTGACTGGGACGGCACGATACTTTCTCCCATCCGCGGTCACGGCTCGTCAATGCCGCCTGCCCACGGACTGTGTATTGATCTTGAGCCTACTGTTTACCAGTATCTATGCAATGACTGCGGGAAATCAACATTTTGTGTCAAAAAGGCAGGCTGCAACGTGCAAGAACCCGCCATCCCGTCGGACTATTTCCGACCCACTTGCAGCTTAACCGCATATGATATCATACACTCACGACAGAGGATAATTGATATTGACACCGGCTGCCTTTCCTATGGCACCACTGCTAAGCCTGCTTAGGAAAGACGGTAGCACGAACCCACTAGCCTGATTAGAAAGTGCATTACATCTAATACATACTTCCACTTGGCCTCTGGTTCTGTTTTTAACTCTTTTTCACCGCTCTCGGATATTCTGCCGCAGCCATTTTACTGTCGCCGAAGCCCCATGCCGTAGGCTGGGGCTAGCGAGACAACCAAAGTTGTTGCTATGTATTTGATCCAGCTTCGAGCATCTTTCACACCCAATTCCTTAATATATTCTTTCTCTCGAGCATCACTTATAGGTCAAGGAAGATGAGTCTCCATAGTTTACTCCTGGACAATCTACACCCTTGGGCACAAGACAGGCTATTGAAGTTTGTGCTCGAGCCGGCCTCGGATATCCGCTGCCGGAATTAGAGCAAGTTAGTTTTATCCGGTACTGACCCGAAATCATCGGATCTGGGTCTCAAGCCGCGGTGACCCGAACTTTCCGCCCTCGTCATGCTCCCCTCACCGACACGTACCTTGAGATCTTATGCTTGGCGGACAAAAACAGGCAATAAAATGCGTATTGCTTGCGCATGGGGATTCAGATGTCGTTCTGCACCATCATCCTTTTATGTCAATTCCGTGATAGTCGAGCGGTTTCACCTTGTCTTGCTAGTTACACTCGTACTTGCGGGTGAAACGCGAGTGTACG